AATTTTCAGTTTTCTTCAAAGACGTACTTATCAAGACCTTTTTTAAAAAAGGTCTTGATAAGTAAGTCTTTAAAGAAAACTGAAAATTTTTTTAATTTTAATTTTTTAATTTTCTTATTGTCTATTTAGATATTTTTAAATATCTTCTTTCTCTTTTTTTCAACTTATTATTTTGTAATTTCTTGTATGCTAACAACTTAGTCAAATATATGATTAATGATAAGTTCCTAAAGTATTTAGCATATAAAATTTCATAAATTACTTATGTTCTTTTTTGAAGAACAAAATTTATAGTTCTTCACTTTAATAGAAACAAAAGTCAGAAAATACTATAAATCAATGATTTAGATAATAGAGAACAATTGTGTATAATTTTTTTATAGTTATGAATTTAAAAATTTTAATTTTTTCTAGTGAGAGACATTTAACTTTTGTTCCTATCTTTTTCTTTAGGGATCTATCTTTATATATGATAGTGACAATCTATTGGTAATGATGTATTAAACTAGAAAAGTTTTTATCCAAAGATACTGCAGAGTGAAATATTGTTTCCAAGGCTGAACTTAGAGACTTTTATGCTTACGACAAGTTAGTTAGATTAAAATAATAATTTAGCTATAGTATGTATTTTTTTTTTTTTTTTTTAAATGCTGGCTGAGTTAAAACTTTATTGAGAAATCCTTATATAAGGTGGAGGAAACAGAGTTCCTCTGAAATTATATATAAGGAAAATTTGAGTAAATGAAGTATTACAATAGAAGAGCTCTTTTATGAAAACTTTATCTTATGATCTTACCATCTTTTAAAAAAGAAAAGAAAATTAGTTTAAAGTCTAACTAGTGTTGAAAAAAAATTTCTTAAAACTATGCAGATCACTAAATAAATGTCTTAAAATTTTCTATATCTGCTGACCATTTATCAAAATCATTGTTGATCAATCTGATGTCTTGTGAATTATTCACTGGAGTATTATGTCTCATCATCTTTAGATGGGAGTAGGATAAAGGAGGGGAGAGGATTATTCATCCAAAGACCTAGTGGGACCTATGTCCAAAGAGATACCTTAAAACCTTTGATGGTATTTTATAAGTAATATCATCTTCAAGTATATATTGCTTATTTAAAAAGGTACAAAACTTCCAAAGGTAGATTTAGCCTAGAAGGAATTCTTCCATTCTGACAAATATTTTTAACTAATACTTTTACTATAAATAAGAATAACAGGTACTACTAGTAACTTTAAAGCCTTTTTTGAAGGTGAGATTTTGTTAAGAGCCTTAATATGCTTTGGTTTCTAGTTCTCCAACAAATTATGGATCAGAAGTAAAAAACCCATCAGTTAGAAAAAATTTCCTATTTACCTTGTTTATTTTTATAAGAAAAAAATAGATCTTTACCTATTTGTATAAGCAAAAGAAACCTACTTGGCTGTCAAGGATAGATAGCTTCAATTCTAAAAATGATTAAAATATCTTGTGATCTTTACTATGGTTAGATAGACTTTTTTCTATTTCCTAAGATATGTTGGATACTATATCTTATATCTACCTATATAAACTTAAAAATAACTTATAATAAATCTTAGATTCTTATGAAGTTGAGAAAATATATTCAGATACATGAGGTGACCAATAGGAGCTTATTTACTTCTTTTACTAATATGAGCTCTATCTGTCCAATCGTAATATAAAAAACTTTGTGCTATCAGAAATTTAGGATCAAACTAAGGTAGACAAAATTCCTTAGAAAAACTCAAGAATAAGTACTATTAGAGTATACAACATAACAAAGAGAGTGAGAAAGTTGTCTCTTATTATCACAGACATTCTGTATTGTTTCTCTATAATGTGAGATGATGACACATTAGTTCTTCTTCCTTTCAGAACTTTCTTGTTATTAGTAAGAAGGATGTTTTTTGACTTTATGATCACTAGAAGTCAAGGTTTTGTTTGAAGAGAAGTATTACAAGAAGGATGACATAGGGATGTCTTTTGAAGTTTCCTTCAAGTTGGTTTAAGGAAAGTGTTAAGACTTTATTAGCAAAAAGTATGAAAACTTCTTGTGAATGTCTTTTTGATATGTGATCAGAAGATTAGCAAAAAGAATTTTTTTAGCTATAGTATATATCATGCTGCTCCTGGCTACGGGTACTTAAAAAAAAAAAATTAACTATCAATAAATAAATGGATAAAGTCGAAAGGTCATATTCTAATTCACTTCTAATTCCTTTTCTTAACAAGTAATAATGAAATAGTAAACACTATACAATACCAAATAGGTATAGGAACCTTTACATGGGATTTTTCTTTATTAAATATACAGCTACCCCTGGAATCGCCGATCAGATGATAGATGCATGTATGCGTAAACAACACGTTATGCGCACTTTTTAGAATTTCCTGATCCATGCGTCGAAGGGTAATATCATTATGGGTAACAAACTTGAACCGACACCATCACAAATGGGCATCATATCACCACACAACACTGACGGTAGTGATTCAAACGTGGAAGGTGCAAATGGCGCAGAGTTTTATACGGGGAATTCTCTCGAGGCCTCTGATGGGGCAACTGTGGAAGATTCCAATGCAAGTGAATTACACGACATTGAATATTCCTCGGGCGGGGAAAATAATACACAAGGAAACAGTTATACCGAACTGGAGGGCGAATTTAATTTAAATACGTACGGCTCACCAAATTTCGATCCGACTAGCAAATTCGATATCACAGAGCTTAGAGGGTCAAGCCGGCAGGAATTTTTAGATGCTGTCGGGGAGGATAGTGTGTTTGACGACGATAATTTCTCCTTGAATCTCTCGATTCCGGTGCGAACTGATAATAAGCAAAAATCATCCATTCTTATGCCTTTAAGACACAAAAAGATTGGCCCATCGCTAAGACGAGAAAATATGAAACTACAATTTGATAAGAATAAAAGGGACGAATTACATGTTTGCGAAGATCAGAGACGCGAAGAGGAACAGCAGTTGCAGGTGCTGAGAGAACAGGAATGGCGAGAGATCAATGGACAAAAACAATCGCGTCAGGAGAAGGGTCGTTGCCATGAGGAACGACAACAGCGCAAAGAACAACCAAATCAGGAGCAACATCGAAGGGAAAAAGAGTCTTTACTAAAAAAGCAAGAACAGAAAGAAGAGACGATTAGGAGAGAACAATTACTCCAGGAGAACGAATGTCAACAGGAACAATTGCGCAAAAGTAAGGAACATCAATTACAAATGCAAAGACAAAGACAGCAGGAATTTTCTTTATTGGAAAAGGCACGTCAGGAACATCAGATACAGCAGTTTTTTCTTCAGCATTCGCGACTCCCTTCACCCGCCAGAAGTTCCAAAGATTCATCGGAACCTCGAATTGTGCCTACAGAAGAACCAGTCACACCATTAATTTCAATGAAGACATGTTATCTACCAGACATGTCTCTATCATCAAACGATAATCGCGAATATAGACATATGAGCGACCTTGGGACTGGTAATCAAGGTAAGACTTATCTTACGCGGTGAGTATCTTTTTAGCAAAACTTACAGTTTCTGTTTCATAGGACCACTCGCTTCCTGGAAGACTTTTACAGATAACTACAGGCAACTTGAAATTGACAAAAAGAATGCAGATCTGCGTATTAACCAACTGGAAAAGGAGATCGAACAATATTGTCAACTTCTACAAAATGAACGAGCTAAAGTACGAACGTATGAAATTGGTGATCGTGCGAATGAGCCAAAGGAGAGGGACAACCGGAGACAGATCGAGAAGGCTGAAAAAGAAAGTAGGAACTTTGTTTTTTCTTCTGATGTTTAGACCTCATTTTGAGTTTAGATTTACGATTACCAAAATCAAAAAGATTTTTTATGGCATCAAACATGTAGAGCTCGAAAATCGCGTGAATTCCTTACATAAGAAATACGAAGCCTTAATAAGACAGTTGGAATACTCGAAACATTATATTCTTAGGGCGGAGGAAGAACGTGACGAAGCAAAAAAGGCCTTGATCGTGGCTAAACAAGAAATTGCGGCCATGAATGAAGAACATGAGCACCTTAAAGCGACAGCACATTCTCCGACGCGAAATCAGAGACCAAACTCTCGAGACGTATTTTCTTCTTGGTCAGTAAAGACGAAATCGTCCTTAGCATCGCGGCCGCAACCAGATGGGACCATTAGAACTTTGAGCAGTGAGAGACGAAAGAATGCAATTTTTAGTAAGGGGCAGCATGATATCTCATATAGTTCCCGTTGTTCTGATTCAGGGAGCAATCAACAACGGAATTATTTTTATGTAAGTTCAGGGGATTACTTACTTAAAGGACGATGGTATCAAGAATTTTATTATCATACAGATTTCCCTAATTGCATAGCCAGAACAAAACGATGATATTTGGGAAGAAAATTCAAAGAAAAAAATTTTGCGCCAGGTTAGTCATAGCAGACGGTAAAAATTTGTATCCCTTCACTGACTTCATTACTCTTTGTTAGAACGGACAAGCTCAACAGAAGGATAATGCGGAAGACGATTCGGGTTCAAGGGAAGAATATGAACATGTTGATCCCAAAATTGTTCTACGACCTACCAGCAGTAAAGGGTCACAACAATCTGGACATCAATATATTGATCCTGGGGATACTGACAGAGTCGAGGATCTATACGAAAATCCCCAACAAGAAACCCATTTGTTATCGAATAACAACTGCCGTCATTTTAATAGGGCGCAACGATATTATGATGAATTAACGGGCGAAAAGCTATTAGCAAGTTCTGCAGAGGACAATAGACAATTTATTAGTATGCGAAAAAGTTCACATCGTGACCCTTCTCAAGAATCGTATGATCGAACGGGGGAACGCGAATACTCCAAAGGTTATTTCAGAGAACAAAATAGACGAGTGAGTGTTGTAATCAATATATCAGATCCTTGTTTTTCGTTCATATCAAATATTGATCTTGTGACACAATGCTTCTATTTGATGAACGAACCTCAGTGGAGAGATGTAAGAAACGGAAAATCATATCTTAGAAAAAGGGTTCGCGATGTTGCCGAAACACATTTACGAAATGAAAATGATTCAGGCGACCATTGTGAAGTTCCATTTATTGTGGAGACGGTTTGGATTCTATTGTTCATAGATTGGATGAAGTTTGATACTTATAAATCTTTGTTGATAGCTAAAACTTTGTTGGATTCACAATAGGGCACCGAAAAATCGTATTCCGCTACTGCTAATTTACAACAGGCCTTCGCCACGTTAGAACACCACAATACTAATTCATGTTCTGTGTGTATGGGGGAAAATCGAACTTCTAATAGGAACGAATCGAAAAAACGTAAAGTAACATTTGACACTTCAATATTTTCATTCTAGCAATATTTCGTATCTTGTGATCCATGACTGGTTACATCCCGTAAAAAACTTCTTTTGAATTTACACGATACCATCATTCCCTCTTAATTGAAGGCTCAAAGGCTCGACTTAATCACACCGATGAACACGATACAAATTACGACGCCCAAGAAACCCCTGACAAGGCATTAGTAAAGGTCATAAATGATTTAACTGACGAATTAACACATTTGAAGATGTGGGTTTTATATTTCGTGGATCGCATAATATTTGGGAATTCGTTTTACTAAGGATCTTTTTTTCCACGAAAAAATTCAGATATTACAGTAACTTGGTTGACGAGTATCATGCAATTGATCCGGTGGACAGTAAGGCCGTCAGGACCGCATTGGCTGAAGAAATGAAAGATGCGATGGACAGTATGGAAATGAAAGTAGGTCCCTTCTTCGTCTGAGTATAACCTTCATTCTTTAACTACATCGCTTTTCTTTTTTTTTATGCAGGGAGATCAGATTGCAATGTTATATGATGTGCATAAGCGAACGGTCAAGTCTCCGTCACGACCAAGTCAAACGACGAACAAATCCAATTCATTTCAACCCACCAGTAGGCATAGAAATAGTACCGCGAGATCCTCTAAATGCGCGACAAAGGTTCCGAGTATAAATTTGCCAAGAGGTACCCAGAGAGCACAAGAGGTATTCAAACATGATGTATGACCGGGGAAGGGACATAGGTTGTCTGTAACCCGTACGTGTGAATCTTAATTTGATATTTAGATGTGCTTATTGTAATCACACGAAATTGTCTTATTATTTAAAATGGAGAAATTACCATCATTGAAATCCAGGAGCACGTGTTTTTTCTTGTGCATGAAATATGTCACATATTTGTGATGAGAGAGGTTGATGCAATAAATTTGAAACCTCAAAATTCCTTTTTAAATAATTCATTTACAAAGGCTTTATTAAAGATATATTAAACAAAGGAAAAATGATATCTTTAAGAAAAAAATCTATATAAAGAATAATTAATATCAACACTTCACCCCCCTTTTTTTTATAGTTTTGATTATTAGGATCATGCTTGTGTCAAATGACAGATAAATTTATTATTCTTACAGCTTTGATTAATTAATCTCAAACGCAATCTTCGTTTATTAAATTTTTGCTCCGTAAAATTGTGCAACTTTTAGTGATTGCCTGATGCCAAGATCGAGCATAATTTCTTCGGAGCCTCCGGGAATTGCATAGGCGCGTACTTCACGGTACAGACGTTCAACCTTCTCGCCTTGACTGTTGACGAAATGATTACATGCGCGTGAATAAATGAATTAAATGTTTAACCACACGAAACAGGAAAAAGTAAATTCACGTACCCGCCACGGGTGTAAGACAGACCGCCGAAGATCTGTGCCGCTTCGCGTGCACAATACTCAAATGTTTGAGTGGATTGGGCTTTCAACAAGGCAATCGGTCCGCCAAGTCTTGTCATGGCCTCATTTCCAGACAGGTAATTCGTTTGGTGAATTAACGACTCCATCCAAGCATGAGTGGCCTCAATTTGGCGAGCCATATGAGCAAGTTTGTTACGAATGACTGGATGTTCAACAAGTTTTTTACCAAAGGTTTTGCGTTTGTGGGCGTATTTCATTGATTCCTCGTAGCATACACGAGCAAAGCGTGTGGCTTGAATAGAAATTCCCATACGTTCATGATTGAAATTGAACATAATGTACTGCATTTTTTAACAATAAAATGATTTGATTACAATCATCACCTTCTTGATTAATTCTTATACACAAATAACAGAATGAGATGATCACCTTGAACCCGCTATTTTCTTTGCCGATGAGATTGCTCTTGGGTACCTTTACGTCCTCAAAAGTAATGTATGCGGTGCCGGAGGCCCATACACCAGTACATTGCATCTGACGAGTCTTGACACCAGGTCGTGTCCTCTCGATCAAAAGAAGGGACACTCCACCCATACCAGGACCTCCCGTTCGAACGGCTGTGGTGAAATAGTCGGCGAAGACTCCGTTTGTGATCCATTTCTTTTCTCCGTTGACAATGTAATGTTCGCCATCGTCCGAAAGTTTTGCCTCAGTTTTAAGATTGGCGACGTCGGATCCAGCATAGGGTTCGGTGATAGCGAGACAAATATTTTTTTCTCCGCTACAACACCCTGGTGCAATTCTATCCTTCAGTTCTTCACTGGCAAATTTAAGGATTGGCGGAAGGCCAATACCCAAACCTAGATAGATCACGAACCCGTATTATGATAATTGCTTTTATCAAGGAAAAATGAAGTAAACAAACTTGATGAAATTATTTGCTACTCAACCCCCAGTTAAACCCCACAAGATTCCACCGGAACCGCAACGGGCCAGTTCGTCGGTGACAACGAATTCGTGGAAATGGTCAAATTCTTCTGGCTTGACACCACCGGCAGGAGGATATTGAGCATATCTGATTAATTGGTTTAACGTTAAACGTCGGTTCAAGTATTTTCATGGGCGAAAAAATTTCACAATCACGTTATGAGCTTACTTTGTCGGCCACGGTGCACCGCAGACTCCGGGTAAAATTCCGGCTTTGGCGGCTTTTATGTAAAGTTCCTTGGGAATCTTCTTGGCTTCATCCCACTCGAATGCGTAAGGCATGATCTCAGTTTCCACAAACTGACGTACAGCGGCACGTATGCGACGATGGGTTTCATTATAATACGGACTGTAGAAGTCTTGGTACCAGTAAGGATCACCGAAAGGCACAAGATCTCCGTAGGGTCCATCGCCCGAAGCGGCATGAGTCTCCTGCTCCGTGTTGGCAGCGCCAATACTACCAATGAGCAGCTGAGGGTATTTTTTTGCGACATCGAATGAATGGAAATTATCGAACTGCTTTGTCGCGTCGGTGCCTGCAACTTTTAGCAAAACTTTTTTTCCACCAGGATGATCCTTCAAGAAATTTGTCACATCGTAAACATTATCGTGAACGATAATCCAAATTGAATTTTCAGTATTATGTTGAGCGACTTCATCAACGGTTAAAACTTTAGGCATGATGGCGGATCGTAATGCGCAAATTTCAAGTGAACTAGAGGAATTGAAACGGTACCAAGAAATTTAATTCCAGTTTTTATGATTTAGATGATGCATGTATCAGATCATGCTTATATTCATGTGATGGATTCGTTTGACTCAGCAACATTCCAAGAATGGCAAGAGGAAGAATACAGATTACTAGAATGAAATTTAACATAAACCTACTATGACGCCAGAGATAAATCCAAACATCGAACAGGAGTACATACAGATCACAATCAAATTAGATCAAAAATATCAAAATGATAAAATGATCAAACGTCTGATCCTTTAGCACGCGAAAAAAAAAAAAAAAAAAAAAAAAAAAATTATCTCCACGTTATGACATAACATCTCGTGCGATTGGTGGCTTGCAACAGATCAAGTTTCACCAATTATCAATCAAACTTCCATGCTTTCGCTTAAAGTTACCATCTCCCACTACAATATCAACATATTTCGTGGACAACCTATTTTCAGAGTCGTGCCCTTAGAAATCAGAAATCGCTTGTTTTCCTCGGGCAATAACAAGCAAGATGATGGTTCGCGAATCCCTGACTTAAAAGGTTCATCAGATGAAAAGAAATCGGGTTTTAAGGACACCAAAGATGATGAGATTGCTCGACCAACAAAAAAACAAACTTTTGGTCAAAACACTCCGTCTGCAAAAAAGGGTTCGGCGGCCGAAGAGTATGATCAGTTTTTTTTAAAATTCTCTAGCGAGACCACGTCGGAAGGTCCAGGAACGAAGGAAGAAAAGGAAGACGACTCGTTGTTGATGGCGCTCAAAACTCCAAAAGAAAAGACAAAACAGTCTACACACAAAACCTCAAATGCAGACGTGGCAAAATTATTATCAGATTTTCTCCTTCCATCGGACGAACTACATCGAATCCATATACACGCCTCATATAACAATACTATAGTAACGTTAACAAATTCAAAAAAAGACGTGTTGATAACCACTTCGGGCGGGATTGTCGGATTTAAAAAGGCACAGCGAGGAGGTTACGAGGCTGCTCATCAAGCTGCCGTTGGATTAATCGAAAAGATCAAAAGTAAAAAGATCAATGTTAGAAATGTTGAAATCTTGGTCAATGGGTTTGGGCCAGGCAGAGATGCCGCTTTTAAAGCAATCGCTTCGTCAGAAAACCCTTGGAATGTCAAAAGAATTACAGATACCACACCGCTCCCGTTTAATGGGTGCAGGCCAAAGAAAGTGAGAAGATTGTGATTAAGAAAAGAAAAAGCACACAACTCTTCTCTTAATAAACTTGAGATATACCTTGTCTATATATGTTAATATTTTTATTAGCCCTTTGCGAATTCTTGTTGGAAACGAATATCGGCTTGACTTAAAATTTCTTCATTCTCATTGTCGGTCTTGTTATGCGTTTTGTATCCCATTTCATACAACAATTTCTAATAAACTTGCGTGAGACGAATTGGGAAAACGCGTCTTATCGAGTAAGTCGTTGGATGAGTGAGTTAACAAACCTTTTGTTGCTCCATGCAATTCCAAAATTTGTCCCTTGCGCCGTGACAAAATGTGAGTCTGTCTCTGAGAGATCCCTTCCTAAAACAATCAGTTAACTCCGAATGAAGTTCCGCACAATTGATTAAAGAAGCATCATAAATCTCTTTCTTCCGGTCCAGAAACACTTGACCCATATCTTTAATATCCTTCTTATTGAGAATGCGCTGCCGCTTGGTCTCCAGATCAACTTTGTCATGATCATCATGTAGAATATCTTCGACTTTTTTTGCAGGAGGTTTTGTTCCAATTTTTCTTAAGGTACCAATTGGATCATCAAAAATTTCGCGAAGCGAATTTACGAAATCTCCTAGTTTCGATGAAATCGTTGGTGACGGGGAAGTATTTTGAATGCGCCGAATTCTCGAATTTTCCTTGCCGATGTTTTCAGTTGTGGCAGGGTCATAAGTTGGTTGAGATGTTTGGAGAAAGTCACCCAAATAATCGTTAATATCCTGAACGTTGATATTCTCTTCTGGCGAAGAGGCATTATTTTCTGATTTTGAAGGCATTTTAGGAAATTTGGTTCCGTACGGTCCGGTAAAAAAAAAACGAGTGGCTATCACGTGACATGGTTTGATGATCATAAAATGTTATATACACACAACTACAGTGATTACTGTCCTGTAATTTTTTCTTTAAAAAAAAAAAACCACGTTATACAAAGCCATATTAACAACAATGATGAGTTAGAAACAATTTTATATTTTTAAAAAATGCCAATTTAAGATTTGAAGAAACCAGCAAATTCAATTTTGATGATTTTTTGAGTGCGATGAATTCTAAACTGATAATGTAGTGTGCGCTTTTGTTTTTAAAGAAAGTGTATAAAAGCTCAACTTTTATGGTTAATCTGCTTCTTTCCTCTGGTGAAAGAATCGCGTGCCGTTTTTTCAGTGAAATGTTCATGATTATAAAAAAGTGGATTTCTATATACAAATATAACTTGATCGACCCTATAAATAATTATAATTATCCCTTATAAAAAAATAATACCCCATTAAAAATGATTCAAATGCATTTTGGTAATATACGAAAGAGTTCTCGTAATGTTTGTTTTTTTTTTTTTTGTCCATTGGCTCGTCCTCCGAATTTCTATTTCGGCCGAAATATTTTATCCCATATTGTCTCTGTGTTGTTGGTGTCTCCGGAATTCTTCACTTTAACTGTACCATTAGGTGTTGGTGATGCCAAATGTCTTCGCAGTCGTTCAGTTAAATTGTTGTTACTAGATGATGTGCGTAATTGTCTTGGAGTGGCGGTGGTCACTGGTGGTGGTGGTGGTGCAGTCGTCGGTTGGGGCGTGGCCGTTCCCTCGGATCCAACGTATTTGATAGTTGCCGAAGAGAATGATCTCGTGGACAATGTGGTGGTTGTATCCGTCAACAAACTCCTCTCGGCAACAAGGGTTTGTCGACTGTTGTGCAGTATACCGCCACTGTCAAGACTAGCGACGCGACGCGTTTGTCGCGATTCACCGCCTGAGTGGCCGATTGGCAAAGTCGCGTATTTCTTCCTCGCGCCTGATGCTTCTATCATGTTACCCGATTTCTCCGCCGCCTCATTACTCGCAAATGAATTATTTCCACCACCGCCAAACAGCGAAACCACCTGCTGCCTTAGAAATGATACGGTTGTCTCATTGTTCTCCCTCTTTGAAGCCCTCAGTGCATTAGGCGTACTTGTAAACACCTCTATATTGCGGTCGGTATAATAGTCTTCGGCGAAGGTATCGATGCTGGCAACAGAAACATCACGATCATGCGAGAAGTCGACGGATAACCTTCGACTGTGGTGGCGAGTGCTTGAAGGAGGAGATTGAACTTCCTTGACACCAAAAACTCTACTGAGGTAAGCCCCAATTCCACCATCACTACTTTGAACTCGTCCACTTCTATCCCTTCTCTCCACCATTTCACCATCATTCTTCCCGCTCATCATACTTTTATCAAATTCTTCTTCCGATTTTCGTCGGCTCTCTTCTACCTTTTGTACATAAGAGACTTGCAAGTCATTAACCATCATACGTAACTTGCCAATTTCCGACAAAAGATCTTGTAACAGGTGGACCAATGGCAAGAAGTTTTCTGGTGAAAAAGAGTAAAGGTCCTTTTGATTTGAATTATCATCGGAAATATCTTTGTCGTTCGGTTTTATCTCTTCATTGTTACGAAGATCCTCTACCCATCGGAATCGATCTCTGAAGATTTCAACATCGTTCAAAATACTCTCAATCAAATTATTACTCAAATCGGTTAACTCCAAAATGTCGAATGCCCTTTTTAATCTGCGATTTAGTGCCAATAGATCAGTGCCCTTCATACGATCCATGATATGACTGGCAAGGTTATAGAGCGATTGATATGGGTTTTGTTGTGGTGATGGTTCGGATTTACACAAATCTTTAGGTTCTTCGATGGATATGGTGATTGGTGGAACATGAAGGGATGTATGACGAGTGGCCGTTGAAGTGCGACGAGAGCGTACAGATCTTGCTCCAGCAGAAGATAATCCATGCTCAACTTCATCGGCTAGTGCAGCAGCTTCTGCAGCAGAAAGATTCGCTTCATCAACCAATACCTCTTCAACAAATGCTTTTATCGGCGAATCAGACTTTCTATTTTTACCTTTGACAGAAACACCATTGGAATTATCAACGGCGGATGCACGAGTTCCAGCTTCATTGCCTTCAATCTGACCATTCTTTTTCTGCTGCTCCTTTGCGACATCGGCACGCCAAGCTTCCATCATTTGTTTACGTTCTTTTGGCCCAAGGGTGGCAAATTTAGGATTCTTGAATGCGGGTATTAGTGGTTTTTCCGAAGAGATAACCTTCGATTTTGAAGTAACCATCGGTGAATTACCAGAAGACTGGGAGACCTTGACCGACAGAGAACTCTCAGCAGCCGACGCGGCATGATGAACGGCTAATGGTGAAGGTTGCGATGGCCTGTGCTGTTTACTAGTTGATGCAACGACGGATAGCTTGGAGGTGCTCGGTCGTTTCGAGAGAATTAATGGAGGGTGACTTCGGCGAGAGGCAAGTTTCAATTCGGTTCCCTTTTTGCCCAAGGGCTTCCTTGCCTGGACGGTTTTGTTTTCATCATCTTGAACCTTATCTTCCACATCCGATTTATCAGTGACGGATCTCTTGAGACCAGCAGATAATAAGGAAACACCATGTGCTTGTTTTTGCGCCGTCAAACTAATGGCAGGCTGAGAAAATGATCGCGCCTTTTTCTTCGCACCTTGCCTATTGTCCCCCTTATCTTTATCATCGGTGACCTCTGCTGTATCCTTCTCTTCGATCTTGACGGCCATGATATCCGACTTGTGACTTTCATTCTTTTCTGATGTCGGGTTTTCATCACCCTAAAATTTGCGGTCAACAATAATAACAATTATTATTGTGATATATTACGCGATTTCAAACAGCCATGTGCAATCTAAAAAAACTTCAACACTTCTTACCTCAGACTCTCCGCTATAACTCTGATAGCAATCAGAATAATCATCTGATTTTTCATGTCTCCTGATTGCAGTATCTGATTGAGCATCATCTGGTTTGATCTGCTCTTCGTCCTCTTCACTTATCTCAACGAACATTTTTTTGCCCTTTTTCAGACTGCTATGCCTAATTCGCCCACTTCCTTTATGTTTGGTCTTTTTCATAAGATATTTCTCCAGCTCTCCGAACACGCTCCCCCGAACAATATCGAGATTCTCGTTTTGATAACGATGATAATGATGATAATGATGATGATAATGCAAAGGATTCGAACTGGATAATACGGAAGATGAGACAACTGATCCTGCAGGAGAGTGGGTAGAAGCATCCACGCCCATACTATTAAATGTATTATATGAACCAGGGCCAAATGAAGATGACAGAACACTGGGGGACATATGAGGATGAATTGGTCGATCGCCAATACCTGGTAAGATATTGGATCCATCAGCAGCCTCTTCCGTATAACAGCCAGTATGCGATGCACTTTCGCCTACGCTTGCCGCATCATCGAGCACATGTGGCGGGAAGTTTCGGTTGAAAGGGGATGCAAAAGAGCCCGACGTATAACTAGCTTGATATGGATAGCCTGTCGCACTCGCGGTTTCCATGTCCTCAATGCGAGCTTGCAAGGCACTCACCTCGTTACGAGATTCGAAAAGGAGATCGCGATATTCGCCGATTTCCAATTTTAGTTTATTGTTGGCAGATGAAAGTTCTTTGATGAGATTGATGAGATGGGAATTTGCTTCATTGTTCGTCGAAGACTGAAGATAATAATAGTAGAGACACCGCGTGAACATTTGAACATGAACCCAAGATATCAAAACAACTCTTGGAATGTATGGCCACATACGTAAATCTCCCTCCGTTCGGGCATCTCGCGAAGCATGGCAACTGCTTCCAATTTTACTTTTGACTTTTGGATCTCTATCTGTTCTAATTTTAAACTTTCGTGAGCATTGAAAAGTTCATCTAAACACAAAGATAAAAAAAAAAAAAAAAATTTTTTTTTTTTTTTTTTTTTTAAGAAAAAATATTTTGATTAAACAATTAAGACAAATTTCTGATGGGGCTCACCAAACTTTTCCTTTAATTTCTTTACATTCAATTCAGCAGCATGTTCAGATTTTCTTGCAATCGCAAGTTCTTGCTTTAAATCCTCCAATTGTCTACCAAGTATTTCCTCCCTTTCTTCACTTTTCTCTCCTTTGAGGTTACTTGCCGTCAAGCGTTTGATGTCGCTTTCACTCCTTTCAAGTTCCCTCGTCAATTCCAAGATTCTATTGTCACGCGAGTCGATGGCCTCGGTGAACGCATCAATTTTCTATTGGAAATTGGGAGGATTTTAGTGATGAGTTTAAACGAAAAATCCCACATCATTCAAAATGTAATTATTATTACGCCTTCTAAGATGACTTTCTGTTTTAGTGCTTCATCTCTTTCCAATGTTAAAACACGCAATGATTCTTCAAGACCGCGCACCATATTTTCGTACTCTTGGACTTTCTGTTCGGCATGTGTGCACTGTTCGGTCTGTCATATGAAAAACAAACGAAATGAGTTTTAGCAGGATTCGTGTTTTCTTTTCTTTTTGCATCCGGAGAACAGCCCATGACAACAGATCCCCTAAAGATAATCCAAATAATAAAAACCTGATCATTTAGTGATCTTTGTAACTCTTCCACTTCTTTTTGGTATATTTCATGTTTCTGTAACAAGGCTTGCCCAACTTCTATAATGGATAGTGAAGATATAAGAAGGTTACTGGTTGTATATATAAGAACACCATCGAATGTATACTATTCGATCAAAAATTTAGTCCTATATAAAATCCTATCTGTATCATTTCAATCATTTGGACCTTAATTACTCGAGAACAAACTACATAATATACTGGTTTAACTTACCGGCAGCCAATCTCAACTCATCTTCCATGGACCCAGTGCACTTGAGAAACATTGCGAAATTTTTACAGTTTTCTTTACCACAACAACACTGGATGGACGCAGGTGTTCTTTGATCGGTGTTGGGGCGAGATCGTAAAGTTGGATCATCTTCGCTACCATACTCTGTTGCCTGCTGTGCCTGTTGCATTGACGGCAGTCGTCGAGACAGATCTGTAAGATCTGGGTTCGAGCCGCCCGTTCCTGGGCTGCCCGGGCTATGGTAATCCATGATAATGAATTACCTATACAAAGGATGAACAGTAAGGTTTTTATTTAAACAAATATATGTAAGGTTTTTTTTTTTTTCTTTGTGTCGAAAGGCTGGGTTGTGGTGGACAGAAACACACTTGAATTCGGTGAATCTATCACCCCAACACTGAGAAGTTTTTTTTTACTGTTTCCTATCCCTCACGATAATCAGCCTCGTTTTTAAGTTTAAAAAAAAAAAAAAAAAAGTCTAATCGGATTTTGAACCTTTTTTCTGAATTGTGAAACCTCCTACTTTGTTGAAATTAGGCGCAAATTATAATATCATCTGCAAAAGTCAGGTATTTTTTAGGGTGAATATTATTCTTTAAAACAATGCAAAGTCGTCACGCAGAATGCATAAAAGTGTTATTACGTATAGTAACACCAATTTCACCGCACGATTAATCCTTATCTTTGTCTCTGAGGGCTCGAGGAACTGCAGATGATTGTGCAGAAATTCATACAACTTCTATAAGGTGAAAGTACCTGACGCATTGTCACACGAGCTCGTGCCTCATCGCGCTCAGCCTCGAATCTCAGGCGGAAATATTTTTTGATCATCAGTCATTTGAACTTCTCATCAGTAAAGCGAGCATCCCCAATTTAGGAAACAGAGGTATTGTTCTCCTGCAAAAAAATTCACACTAGGGTCAATCGAACTGAAGATCTCGAAGAGTGACCCACAAATTGAATTCTCAGAAAGGTAATTTCGAAACCTCACAATAATCCGAGCCTCGGAAAAGAAATTGCTAGTCAAAGTTTCTAACAAAATAAAGGAGATTTGCCAACACGTAAGCTATCGTAAATTTCGATCACTAATAACATTACATTTTTGGATATAATCACATAAGGATTTTCAAACGTGTCAATAAACTATTTGTACAGTATCTTACGTAAATACTATACATTTTACTTTATTTAAAAATGTAATCAAAAGATCTCAATTAAAAATACAAATATTTTACCTTTCATGTGTCACGTGGAGAATATTATTTTAAAAGATTTGTATAAGGTTTAGTGTATATACTGTACATACATATATATTTTTTGATTGAATAAATCTATTAAACCGATACAGTATGTTACAAAATAAAATTTTATTAAGCTAGTTATGTATACTTTATTAAACTTTTATAATTAAATCATTCATTTTAATTAATATTAACTTTAAATATAACTTTTATAACTTTGAAATTGATCTGTTACTTTATTAGTAATTTAAATAAAGATTTTTTTAGCCATTAACATTATTATCTATAGATTATTATTGTAAATTACTTTCAAAGTTCTAAGATTAATATTCAATTATTTTATCTTATATTTAATACTCTTTATTAAAATCTTTAAAAAATCTTTGTTTATAATTGTTTTTTTTATTCTTACAATAATATAATACTTATAAAGATTCTTTTATAAAAGTATTTTGATTAATCTTTTAACTTAATTATTTTTTTAAAATTTATTTTTGCTTTAATTCTTTGTCTTTTTCTTACTAGTTGAAATTATATTATTTGACAGTTTAATTATTCCTAAATTTAATTAAATTTAATAATAAAAATATTACCTAATTCTTTTTTATTAATATTACTTGACATATTACTATTTTAGCAATAAAATAATAATAATAAATTCAATAATCAAAAATTTAATAATAAAAAATTTAGCAATTAAAAATTTATTAATTAAAAGTTTAACAATAAATTGTCAAAAAATTCAATAACAATTTGTCAAATAATTATTAACTATTTAGCAAAAATTTATTAACAATTCAATAAAAGTTCATTAAAAAATTATTTATAAGCAATTTAATAAAAATCCAATATTAATTTATTAATAATTCATCAAAAATTCATTAATAATTAATTAATAATTTATCAACTATTCATCAAAAATATTTATTAAAAAAATTGATAAACTTATGTATAAATTTTTTTGAATTGAAGTTATATTTGAAAATTATAAATAATACAAACTATAATATAATATATAATATGTAATATATAGTATATTATTATAATTTAATTAATTATATATTATTATATAAATAATATTAAATAAATTTATAAATATAAATAATTTTTTTCATAAGTTTTATAAATTTTTGTTAAATAATAAATAAATAGTTGTCAAATTTTTAATAAATAGTTTTGATAAATAATTATGGATTTTTTAATGAATAGTTAATAGATTTTTAATAAATAGTTTTGATGAATAATTGATAAATGATTAATAAACTATTAATAAATTTTGATGAATTATTAATAAATTAATATCAAATTTTTATTGAATTACTAATAAATAATTTTGTGATAAACTTTTATTGAATTGTTAATAAATTTTTATTGAATAGATAATAAATTATAAATATGTTGATTTTTGTAATAATTATAGCCAAATTATATAATTAACAATTTATTTATGTTATTTTTTTATCAAACTGTTTATTTTTTATCAAATATTATGAGTGGCAAAATATCAAATAATTTTTTTTGGGCTAGTGATATTTTATTAATTTATAATATATAATAATAATTTTTTTATAATAAATTATGAAAAATAAATAATTTATTATTGATTATTTTAATTAGAAAACTTTTTTATTAAGAGTTAATATATCTTAAATATATTCTTTTTTTAATCTTTTTTATATCAAATTTTATGAAAAAGTTTGGTAATTTTAAACTTGATAATTTTATTTATTATTTATTATATTTTAATAAATTTATATATATATTATTATCTTATTATTTATTTATTTTTTTTAAACTTGTAGTTAAACTAATATAATATATTTATTAATCTTTAAAAAATCAATAAAGATATATTGAACAATTATATTATAATTAAACTAAATCTCATATTGACTTACTTATTAATAGCTTTTAGTTGTCAAATTAGTTTCAATTTTTAAATACAACTTTGAAAACAATATTTTACTTTATAATAAGTTTAAATAAATATTCTTTTAACTTATACATTGTTATTAGTAGATTATTAATTTTTATTATTCTTCAAGAAACCAATTTTAAGAAACTATAATAGAAAAAAGGAAAAAGAAAAGAAAAGAAAATATCTAAAAATATACAAATATATATCATATAAATAAAGAAAAAAATAAAAAATAAAAATAAAAATACTTAATATTTTTCAAAAAACCTTTACTAAAAATCTCATCTCATTAGAAACCAATTTTTCTAGAATATTCTTCTTTTTTCTGATTATTTGAAAAACTTAATCTTAATTATTTTCATATAATCATTTAAGATTTAGTAAATATTATCTACTTGGATCCAGTATTTTGCTCATTTCATATTAAGATCAATTTTTCTTTTCTGCCAATATCTTTTTTGTTATATGCAAAGTCTTTTACTTTATTTAAACTTGTATAGTTTTTGTTTATAATTATAATCTAGCTTGAATAATAGAATTATATTAGTTGAATAGATATTATAACCAATCAAATCTAAATCTGAGAAATATATTGATATAAACACAAATATCATAGATTTTTTCTTAATTTTTTTCTTATACTAATAGATTCTTTTACTAGTCCCTTTATTCCAAAAATGGTGGCAAAATCATGAAATAGACTTTTCTATATCAATATTTTACTTAAAAAATAAAAAAAGTTTATCTACATAATATACTATATGTAATATCTATTATATTTAAATAAAACAATGCTGTGCTAGTATTTTTTTAAAAAAAATACAATACTATATATATAATATTATACTGTATATAAAAAATAATATAAACTTTTATGAGAAGATTATTATTATAATTATAATTGATAATACCTCTTTCTGCTGATCCTTTAACCATATACAAAAAAGATATTTGCAAGAAATTTTTACTTCTTTGCTAATAAATTCTTAATACTACCTTTAAATCAACTTTAAGTTTTACTTCAAGAGATATTTTCAATTCCCTTCCTTGTTTATATTTATTTTTAAATAAAAATTTGACTTCTTGTGACCTAGAAAAGTCAAAAAACACTTTTTTTATCAATAACAAAAAAGTTTTACAAAAAAAAAAAACTAATAGTGTAGTACTTGAAGCCTTTTATATTTAAGCATATTTATATAGGTTTCTAATAATAAAAGATAACAAATATCAAGCTATATTTCAAGGTATCTATCCACTATATTTTTTTTTTTATAGTCACTCAAAATTTTTTTGGTTTTTTGGAGAATTTTACCTACCTCAATTTGATCCTGAATTTTAGATAACATGACCTATTACAAAATATAATTGGTGAACACAAAACACATTAGTAGCTAAATATAAACAAGTATTTATTGATCACTTTATGTTGTGATCAAATTTATATTTGATCAGCGTGTCCAAGTGAAATTGTTTTTAAAAGGACAATTCCCAAAGAAAGAATTGAAGAAATGGTTTATAATAAAGAAATATTCAAGAATAGATTCACCAAGAATCCTTTAAATAGTATTACACAGTATTTTACAAGAAATATGGTTCGCTCAGAACCCAAGTTTATTAATAAGTCAAGAAAACTAGGACAATTTCTTTAGTCCTAAAATCAAAAGAAGATATTCAATCTTCCAAAAGAAAAGTGAAGTTATTCCTAAACTTTCAAAGTCAAGTGAAGCTATCTACAAACCTATCCTATTTTTGAGCAAATTATAACTGTTTATATACTTGTAAAAATGAACTACTTGGGTCACTTCAGTCTCCTGAACCTCCTGGGCTGCCTAATTTATGGTAAATTATGTCATGTACTATATTTGATCAAGTGATCTATGCTAATTAAGTATCAATAAAAATATTAAAGAATATCAAAAAAATAATTATAAATAAATAGATAAAAATGGAAATAGAATAAAGCTCATGACTAAAAATAACTATTCAATGGTATTAGAGGCTATTTTTATTACACTTTTCCTTCCTTAAAAGATGAAGTCCTCTGAGTCAAGTTTTCTCATATAGTGAATAAAATCATTTTGATAAATTTTA